AGGTTTTCGGGTTTATTTGTTATTTTGTGTTTGGGAAAATAAATCATAAGTATAAGGTGACTTATTTGACGTTAAACTGTGATTTCTCCAAAACAGATTACGATAACAGCGTTTATAAAAATTCATATTTTAAATTTTCGATTGAGATTTGTACGTATGTTTTATAAGAGAACACACCAAATAACGAGTAATTGTTTAATTAATCGTCTAATAACTGATCAACTTAGTCATTATACTTTCTCCTCCTTCAAATATTATGTGTTTTTATACTCTTTTCCCTTCAGGAATGATAGTAAAATACAATTTATATAATATAACAACAAGCTGAAGTTACTAAAAAGTGCATTTTTTATCAGTGTGTGTTTTTGAGTTGGTGCCAAAACACATTTGGCCCACCCCCAGTACATTGTACAATTCAAGACATTTTTATCACCACACACAAACCACCCTCTAGTTTGTCTATTTCGTCTTTGTTTTAATAAAATTAGATTTAATTATCAATATGTGTATAGTTTCAAAAAAGTTCGGAATAAAAAATCAAATCGTGTCCTGAAAATTATGCATGTTAGAAAAGTGTAAATTGTGAAAATAATATTTAAAACAAAGTTTAATAATGGTATTCGTTAATTTTTGTTGTTAGATATCCCTTATTTACAAAAAATCCTAAATGTCGTTCTTATTTTACCTGATTACAGGTGAATTTTTAATATTTAAACATATGATAAGATAAGTGGTCTGGCTTATCTTAAAATCTTTTAAATTATAATGTCTTTATAATTTTATCCATCAGTCTTAATAGTGTAATACGTATATTAGGTATTCAAATAAAGGAAAAAATTGAAAATAAGATTTTTCGATAGTTTAATTATAATATTTTATTACAAATTAAACTAGGTTTCTACAAATGTGGCATACATTTTGGTATATCAAAATGAACTTCAATTGAGAATAGTTTAAAATATTCTATTTGTATTTTTTGACAATTCTTCTTTATGAGATCACCAATTCACAATCAACTTATTGATGTATCTTTCAGTAGTTTTCTTCTCCTTTCTTTCTTAAGACCTACCTCTTGACTCTTCCTTTCCTGTAGAATTATGTTTTTTTCTAAATTCAAACTAATAAGGTTCTCTACAATGAATATTAAGATAGTTGAAGATTCCATACTGATGAAAAACTTTGAGTTTATACTCTCTCAAGAAATTATATTCTGGGTTAAGACAGTAGTTTCAAAGTGTTCGACATTAAGTGACTACTAGGGGGCTCAGACTCAAACTTTATTGAAAGTGGATTTGGAAGAAGGCCAAAATGTTTGGAAGAACTCATAACGAACTTAAGAACGATATAACACGGATTGACTGAAAAGTTCTGCTTCCTCGTGGTTTAGTAACGTCGTGAAAACTAACTAATCGCTTTCGATGATATTTATCGATTGTCAATTCAACCGATTAATTTGAATGCTTAGGGAAGATTTAATGATTTTATTAGTGTCTATGACAATCGGATTTTTACGCAAGGATCACAATAACACATGGATAGCTGTCTAAATCGGTTTGGCTAACCTAACTAACCAAACGATATATCGAATGAAATAATCAATATATCGATCAGTATTGTCATTCGGTTGTTTTTGACAACAGATACGGAAGTCTACCAATATCCAAAATACTTATTGATAAACCAGGGATCGAACCCGATACATTAGCACTAAATAAACCTTTAAATACGCTCACAGCAGCAAACCTGATGACTAAGCGATTTTCCATTTGAATTATTAGCTTTTTATCAAGGCGTTTCCATAAACTTGTTCATTCCATATTTAAATAACTTTATAATCGATGAGTACTTATGTTTGCTGCTTCAGGGTAGAGAATAGTTTTTTTTTATTAAATAGTAATAGTGTAGGGCGAAAGAAATACAATTTTAAAATTTGATCAAAATATATATTCAAAAACAAACAAACTACAACAGTTTTCTTTTACTCCATAAGAATATTATATATAAATGTACAGATTTTTCGAAATTTCCCCCGTTTCTTTTAACGAAACGACAATGCTCCAATATACAATTTTTGTTTGTTTTTTAAGCTCTACACGATGGCTGCAATACAAATTAAGCATTTCCATGTTTAAAGTATAAATATTATAAATTACAATTTTTTATTGACTTAAAACCCCAAAAACTTCGTTCTCATTGGTTGGCGAACTCAATCAAGTGTATCCAGCTTGAAACATTCAAGCCAAATTTCATAAAAATTGTGTTGACCGACACACAAATATAGGCTAAACATTTAAATTAATTGTGTTTTGGCCTTTTGCGGACATCGAAATGAAAAATTAAATCAGTTCCGTTTCTAGGTCTCTCCGTAACACCAACGGTAAAAGTAGCTTCTTTATTAAACGGGGAATTCACTAAAAAGTTGAAAATCAAATATTGAGATATATCAGTTTGATAAGGACGACGCAGATGAAATGTACATTTCACGTATGCGAAAGCAAACTCTTGAAATAATATATCTCATGATTGATTTCCAATATGTGTGTTATTCCACTTAGGGAAAAGTGATGTTATATTACCTTACGAGGAAATGAAAGCCGACTTTATATTTCTGATTTGTAAGTTGAGGTAAAGTTGAGTTAAACATTTGTACGTAGCACTTTTAAACAGTTTCTTTATTCTTACTGCGAGACTCCTATAATTTGTTGTACTTTGTGTAAGAAACACTTGCTATAACTACAGGTACACCCACACTTTGAATACGACAGTTTCTATAGGTTTACATAAATAATCTTATTCAACATGCTTATACGGTACTTGTATGTATTCATATTTAGACTTTTGGTGCAGATTTATATTTTTCGATTTATATTCATAATGTTTTACTTTGTATTTGTTAAATATTTTGGAAAAATTTAATCTTATCTTTATCCACTTGCAGAATTGATTATATATTGCTATACATTTTCTTCGTTAATATAGTTTATAAATGGTGGCTCTTTGATAGTAAATAATTGTGTCCAAGAGTTAAAATAACATTCGTTGTTCCAACATATTATTTCCATCTATGTCGGATGTACTTCAGAAATAACGTTAACGAAATCAACTGTCAAATAAAACGTTAAGTGGTTAGGACAGTAAAGCACCCACACAGTTTTGTTGTGACATCATACTTAATATTAATCGCGTATTCATTAAAGTTGGTTGACTTTTTATACGTTTTTTTACGTACCTTACCTCAATTGTAACACAAAGCCTCTTACTTAAGAAAAAATTAACTGTTAGTTGTCGAAGTTTGTAGGATTGAGAAACTGTTGATTTTGGATACTACAAGTTACAAGTAGACTTCTTTTGTATTATCTGAGACATGGGGGACATATAGGGGTTTCATATCGGGTAAATCTAGGGGCGCATCGATGTTTCCCTCTAAAGACAAACACGATTTCGTGATTATTTTAAGCTGTAACACCAGAAGTTCATTTGCCGAAAAAAATAAATAGCTCGTTTAAAATTCTTTTCACCACACTACGATGTTTTAGCCGTTATTTTACAAACGTTAATTGGAGGCCGAAAGCTACGTATTGCTATGACAGCCGTCATCGTTATTTGGGGACCGAGCATGTTTTTACTAGGGCCAAAAATCAGCTGTCCGCTTACTTTCTTAAAACATGAATGCGTAGAATTGTTTTACTGTCACCGCTGCATGGCAACTATTTATTATTATTTTTGCTGATTCTTCAAATTATTTCTTCACATAACCTTAAAGTTGTAGTTGTGATGACTGTTAGTAAACATTATTATTGTGTTGAATAGGTTATAGTGTGGTGAAAATAGCGTTCGTACCACTGACTAAAATGGTTTTGGTTTTGGGAGCTCTCAATCGTTTTAAGTTATCGATTTCATCTTGAACCTAAAAACTATCTCGAGCCGGTAAAACCTCATTTTCGTCCCTAGGTACGAAATATACTATTACATACTTAACAAAACCATGCTTTAATTGTCTCCAAAAGATGACCAATCGACGAGATGGCATGTTTAACTATTATCAGCTTTATAAGTTTCGCAAATTCCAAAACACCAGCCCTAATCATTCCTAAACCACCAAACCGACATGTCCTACAGGTACTATAAAGTTGGTAACCACAATTGTTTAACCATTTTGGTCTTAGAAATAGGGTTCCCGCTATATTGAAGCAATACATTTCACTTAACTACACATTTTAAAAGACGTGAAAATAATGATTTTCAAACAATCAATTGAATATCTAAGAAACGGTTGCTTAAAAGGTTAATCGTGCTGAGTCTATTGTTCAAACGATGACCGGAGGGACTAAAATCAATAGCATCTCTTTAATATCTTTAAAATTTTACCAAACGATTTGAGTGTAACCTAAGCGTAAAATATTATTCTATACTTTATTTTTTTACATTTCTAAAGATTTTATTAAATTACGACTTATAACAACAAATCGTAAACAGAAACAATATTAATTATCTTTAATGCCATAAGTCAAAAATGTCTTGTTCTCAGTCATTCAAAATTTTCAGCAGAATTTTTAAATAAGACAAATCAGATACAGTTTTGAAATAAAAGTATAAGCTAGACAATGCTTACTACTCGTTTATTCTTCACCACCAACTGTAACACTACATGTATAAATTATTTAGTTTGATATTGTACTAAGGCAAACATATAACACAGGGAATATTTAAACATTGCTTATTACATAATGTAATTTGCATCTGTGAAAAGTAATGCCCACACCTAAAGATACCAAAACGTATTAATCAGCAACGAGTATAGTTATACATACAATGTGAACGTGGAAGCTACACCTAAAGCATCGACACCTCAAGAATAACTAAACTCATTTTCATCAACAGAATTTCATTATACATTTTATGAAAATACAACTGCCCTAAAAGAACATACAGTTAACTAATCGCATACAAGTCTTGTTATTAAGATAAATTGCTAGTTAACTAAGGTATGAAAAACTCACCCTTGTATAGGATGGAGGAGAAATGCAGACTCCAACTTACTCTGAGGTCCTGGACCACTACAGAAGCGACTCTGGTGGTAGTGGAGGGAACTAAACCACCCCCCACCCGCTACCACCCACTGTATAGGCTGCATCTCAGGCAGTGTAAATTGCAGCTGATTTTGACTCGGGGATTTAACTGATCACGTTTGCTGATGATTTTTTAAGATTGATACTTTTTTAATTTGATTTTGTTTCAACACATTTTAAAATTCTACTAATTTATTTGAATAGCTTGAAATTGCATAAATTATTTTAAATTTAATAAACAAAAGAACATAGATGATAAAAATAAAATAGTAGGAAAACATATTTTTTTGATACTGATAAATAATTTTATACACATATCACAATTTTATTTCAATTTTATTTAGTCTTAAATAATTTATTTTTAAATTTTACAATTTGTTTGCAATTTTAGTTATATTTAATTAGTTTGTATTCTGTTTGTCTGTACTGTACTTTATATTGCAATTTTCGCCCAGTTTGAATTTATTTTTTGAATATTAAAATTAATTATTTTTCTTGAAAGGTTCATTACAAGATTTATGTATTTAACTGGATACCGTAACGAAGAGTTTAAATTATACACAATAACTTTTGGTCACTGTCTTAAACTAAAATAGATACAAATTGTTTTAAGCTTAAAAAACTGAAAAATATAAAAAAAACTGTTAAATTCTATAAAAATGTAAATGTTGAAAAAATAAAATTGTATTTAAATTCTGTTTATTCAAACTAAAGTCATATTTTAGAATTTCAAAATCAACAATATAATATTTTTTTTAAAAGAGCTCTAAAAAATACAAATTAAATCCTTCGAGAACATTGGAGACTTTTGAGACCTTAGTGAGGTTCAATGTTACTTCATATTTCGAGAACAAAAACAATCAAAATATTTAATAATAACTTGATTACAACTCGAACAATGAGAATCTTTTAGATATTCAGAAGAATGGTAATTTAAGTAAATATTTTTTAGTTGGCTTAATAAAACGTAGATTGGTTAGCAATCAAATTTAATGACTTGGTCATTGCTCAACCAATCTGGGCCGTTGGTTCGTCACAGCTTAGTCATTTGGTTTTCATAAGACTAAACCTAGCTAAAAAATCAGCCAATGTATTTTATATACATTGAGTATTATCATAGAATAAAAATTTGGCAAGTTGTTTCTCGTCCTTGATGAAATAAGAAGTGTTTAAATGCGTATTAATAATATTTGTGACGTTTTAAGTGCGTCGATGTCGACTAAATGTATCCTTTTTTGAGTAGATCTTACGATTTTACTTTACTGTAATAACATTAACTGTTTACAGATTAACAAAAGGGCTTTTTGTGTTCGTGTAGTTCAACCATAATGTTGAAGATATGCTAAAATAGAACGTGTGAACACTAATAACACTCATGTTTCTAAAGAAATTCCCGTAAGCTATTACCGTAGGTCTCATGTTTAGACCTGAACCCTGGGCCGATATACTTCTTCGTTTTGATGTCCTAACAGGCCAAAAATACCATCAGTTCAAATTCATATATTTTTATTTATATATTTATGTGTTCGTTAGCACGATAAATCAAGTCAAAATCGTCCAATTTAATGAAATTTGGTACATTTTCTCTAAAAAATTTCGTAAAGCTGGCTAAGGGCTCAAAAAACTAAAATTTGGGATTTGAAGCATGGTTGTACGCCGTATGGCTTGTATAAAACTCCATAAAACTGTAATTTTAAAATTCCATGTTATGTTTATGGAGAAAAGGTAAACTGCCTTAGTTTGCTTGTTCAATCACTTATCCTGATAATATTTCTCAAATTTACTTGTATCATCCTAGTCTATTATGCTATTTCATTCATTTCAATGAAAACGTACATTTGTACCAGCGAACCGAAGTACTCGTTTAACCTGATGTTTTTTTTTTTCAAATAGGGAATGAGTCTGACATATTTAAGGAAATTGTAAGTTAAAAATCCAATCAGTGAGAAGGAAATTCGCTTAGTCTGCAGGTTTAGAGGTATTTATACGATTTATAATTTAGTTTGTAAATTGTACTTCCGTAACACAAAGAGTTTTCAAACAGCGCTGCCCAGAGGCAAGGGACTTCCGGGTCGTCACCCGCCAGTTTGCCGCCGGAAAATGTTTAACTTTTCCCCCACCATTTAAAATTTATTTTCCAATTTTAGCCAAACTCCGGCCTTTGAAGCAAGATCTTTGCCAAGTCACCTAATTGCTCTAAGTTTAATTTAAAATATTATTAAATTACGTTTAAAAAATTTGGAAGTAAATTCAAAAACGTAAATTTTTGTTTGCAAGGGTTACCCCACGATTAGACTATAAGTCCAGTAGGTAATAATTCGTTACCTTCTGGAAATAACTATGTTGAATCTAAAAAAAATTGTCTTTTGCACACTTGCAAAAAGGTTAGGGCCATAGTATGGAACAAATTTTAGTTTCTATGGTTTTAGACGGTTCAATGTAAGAACTTTTATACTTTTAATTGAAGTGGGGTCGATACAAAGGTAGTTATTTCAAGTCAAGTATGAATGGAGATGAGTGTAGGGTGAGTGGCGTGATCTTGTAGTCTTGTTACTGACTAAGGCCGACATGTTCCTAACAGGGCTATTAATTTATGGCCCATGCAGCCAATGGTGACATAAAGTTTATAGTGCAATCCAAACCAAAATTGTCCTCATAATTTACGAATTGGTCTAATTATCAGGATAGTACTGAGGATAGTCGTAGTAGGTACTCACTAGTGCGGACTTTAATCCACACCAGGGAGCATCTTATCCACAGATCATGCCAATACATATCCACAAAAAAAATACTTCGGTGAAATCTATATGTTCATTATAAAAGTATGTTATATTATACACGTATAAAATTAAGAAAAGTTACAAATACTAAACAAGAACTTAGAAAATAATAGATTCTTTTAGTAAGGCAAAGCACGATTTCCTCAGTAACAAACCAACAAAATTATAGTCATAATATGATTTTAAATAAAAATATGAACGTTTTATATTTAACCACGGACAATAAATTACCATAGTGGGCTATCCTATGTGATTCAACTGTGTGATGTGAGTGCATTTTCCGTAATCATGGAACAACATCGGTCTGTCTGTAAAAATCAACACAAACCTCAAATATCGGGTTCTAATAAAGTGTTACATAGAGGAGGGAGTAATAGAGAAAACATTCCAAAGAGTAAAAACTGTGGAATGATCAGAAGAATGTTTGAAAGGCCACAATCACTATTGGAGCGCGTTCTCCTGATGCTGATAATGGCAAAGCTGGAATAGCCTTTGCTCTTGTTGCTTTCCAAATAAACCTCTATGTTTGAGCTAAAAAATCCTTTGAAAGAATGTGGATAGTTTGTTTGTTTTGTCCTTCCAATAAGGGAATTTAGAGTTCATTTTGTTTGCACAGAAAATAAAAAATCAGGTAAGGTATTATATTGAAAAATACGAAGGCTTTTTGTGAAAGGTGTCAAAGTATATAATTTAGTTTTAATTTTTGAGTTATTATACGTCTGGTTTAATGAATCACAGTAATATTTAAAATATGAAATTTACCATTTAAATTAGTCAACATCATCCTTTTTTCACAATGTTTTATTGTGTGTTACTAAAATCAATTTTTATCATGAATCCTAGGTTATGACAATTGCTTTCAAGCACTATTCAAAACCTAATTAAAGTAGACAAGGGGTGTAAAAATGGTACGTCGCGTAGGGATTATGTAGAGTGTTTTTATAAGCCAAATAAAATATTTTCAATAAAAACTTATGACTAGTTGCCACATTACTATAAAATGTATATAAATGACTTGATAATCTGTATATCACAAAATGCACAACTATACCAACGAGTTCGAATGAGAAAAATATTAAAATTGTGTAATAGAAAATCCGCCTATAAAAAATTTGAAAAACAAGTTCCCTTATATTACCCGGTGCTCAACTAAGCCTTCCTTTTTAATTTAAAATAATGAGTACCAAATAATAAGTATTCAAGTTTACTTATCGGGTTTATATGTTTACAATACATATAAATCTGACTTTTGAAATAACTTTTATATTATCTTGAAACTGTTTCATGATTACTTAATCGATTCCGATTCTTCACCACAATTAATCTTGATGGAATCCTTCTTGGAAAATGTTTTTGAAATCTTGTAACCACTACTCCCTAGCGATGCCAGTGGTTGTAAATTACGGTAACACTTCGGTATGTTGATGAAAACCAAAAGGGTCTTGCTCCTTACTCTCATTACTCTATGTCTCATTACTCTATCTCTTATTGTTACTCTTTGCACAATTACTCTAAACAGTTAACACTAATCATCCGTTTTCGTAACGAGCTATTTCAAAATTTAGAATGGATGGTTCTTAATACCTTACTCAAATAGTATCTTAAAATCCTTAAAAATATTATTTCAAAGAGAAATCTGTATTATAGGAATTTTATTCTAGGCAGCAATGTCTATCACTCTATTACTGTACCGACATGATAATACAACCTTATAATTTATTTAAATAACTAACCCTGCACATTGTGTGATGCTGGGGCTATATAAATGAAACTGTGAGTCCAATACGAAAGAATAATGAACAGAAAATAATATTGTATAAGAAAATGTAAGTGAGTATAATTATCATCGCAATGGGTTTAACAGTTATGTTAGTTTCAAACACAACTCAACTTTTTGAACCTTTATCAATTGTTAGCCACTATTTTGAAATAAAAATCCCTTTAAGATCTTACAACAAGATTACCTTCAGTGATGTATAATTTACATCTTGGTGTCATGTCATGTATGTGGACCCCCTGTAACCCCCCCCCCCCTTAAATAGAACATAGAGAACAAGCCTTCCTGAGGCGAGCAGTCTGATTCGGATTACATTGACGATTTGCCCCAGTTAATGCTAAACCCTAGTTAAACTCTCATGTACAGGGTCTCGAATGAGAATCAGCTGTTAAATTTCCAGTTGGGAAGCATTGATTGTAAAACAA